ACACTTTGGCATATTGGTTATTTTGAATTAAAGTTACTTGAGAAACAGCCAGTGCAAGAAGAACACTCTGACCCTCCTTTGTTCCCCTGAAACCAGGAAACAAACACCCATGGGAAAGTATTCTCCCTATATCAGGAGGATGGAGGGCATCCTTATCACCCGAGATAGGGAACTCGGAGCAGAGGAAGCTATATAAGTAAATTTTGTTACCTCCTCATTAATTTGCTACTCCAAGCCCAAACTCCCTTATTTTGTCAAATATTCACCAATAATTGTTTCTTTGTCTAAATGGTATATAAACAGCCTGCTTTGGTCATTTCCTTGAGCACTCTATTGTTATGATCTCCCATATGTATGTATTAAATTGGTTTTCTTCTCATTATTCTACCTTGTATTAATTTTATTATTAGTCCAACCATAAGAACTCTAGGGGTAAGGGGAATACTTCCTCCCTACCCCCCGCTATCAGGAGTTGAGCTGCTTGGACTGGACGTTCCTATCATCCTCATGATGCTGATATGCAAGTGATGATGTTTTGCATTTTCAGGAAGAAAATATTACAGGCTCGGAAAGAACAGAATCAAATAAGTCTAAAGGAATTAGAGTAGCAACTTCAGATTCTAGGGAACCTGCAAGAGGTATTGTTTCTTGAATTTTTTAATTCACTCATTTCTCTATTGTGTTTGGGTTCTTACCCATGTTTTCAATGGATTCTGTAATATGGGTAATGTTGAAAAAAGTTTGAATGAGGTATGTTTGCTCCACTGATTCTGTTTTCCCAGTTATTCTTTATAATTTGTTGCTTAAGATATAAATCCCTTGCTCTTAGTCTGTCTTTTTAGTAACTGACACCATTAGATGAGGATTGTTCATTGTCCTTTTTCCTCAATCATCCTCTGAAGTGAGAAAATAAGTGCACTAATTTCCCTTCCCAGTTTTCAAAATCAAATCACATTTATCTCTCTCTCCTTTCTAGATTTCATGTGTATCATTCACCGTGGCATTCCAGTCGTCACAGTCTATATGGTGCAGTTTTAACATTGTTTTACTAATGCTTGTATTTGATTCCTGAATTCACAATTGCAAATCACACAAAGCACAATAAAAGTATCCTAGGGAATTAGATTTCTTAAAATGACTTTTCACTTAATCTGATATGTAAGAGATCAGTGTGCAAGAAGAAGTTAGTAACAGCAATTGTATGTCATACAGGCAATCATTGGGATTTTGAAGCAGCAATAATTAGCATGATAGAAATTAAGTGATTAAGTAAAATACTGTTTTTTTCAAGTGGGTCCACAGTCTGTCTTTGAAAATGAGATGGCTCTGCACTGAGTTTTCCCATATAATTTTATGTTCTAGATGTGTAAGAATATCTTGAGGCACCACCCAAAGAGATTTACCTGCAGTTGTTTTGTGGTAGTATTTACTGGTCTCCTTGGGAAACAAATTATCTTTTCAAATCTTTTCATAAGAGTTTTCTAGGGGGCTTGCCCCATGGCCGAGTGGTTAAGTTCGTGCGCTCCACTGCAGGCACCCAGTGTTTCGTTGGTTCGAATCCTGGGCGCGGACATGGCACTGCTCATCAAACCACACTGAGGCAGTGTCCCACATGCCACAACTAGAAGGACCCACAACGAAGAATATACAACTATGTACTGGGGGGCTTTGGGGAGAAAAAGGAAAAAAATAACATCTTTAAAAAAAAGAGTTTTCTAATATTCCAGAACAATAATAAATATTCCTGATAAGGGAACTCCTTTATCCTAAATCCCTACTCTAATGATCCCAAGGAGAGGTCCAGAGGTATAATGGCCCATCAGAGTTCTTCTCCATTGGACCAAAAATCACAGACTTTTATGCCTCCTGTTTGAAAAGGCATTGCCCCACTTCATGTCTGCACAACTCAGGGAAGATCTCTCTACTGTCCTGCTTTGCTCCCATTCTTTCTCTTTAGCTCATGAGGCTCTGAAAATGTTGAATATAATAAAATTAACACAAGACAGAGTAACAGAAGAAAAACCAATTTAATATGTATGTACAGGAGATCATAAAAATATGCTAATGCCCCAAATATCTAGGCTTCCAAGGATGTACCTGATCAGACCTTCAGTGAACAGGTAATTCTACTCTAATAAAATAGCTCCAGATAATGAAGGGAAAAAACTCCTTTTTGTTTCAAGAAAATATAATACGATGATAAAATCTATTGAAGAAAGCAGGCTAAACAAATTTCTGAGCAATCTCATTTATAAATGAGGACACAAAATCCTACTTCAAATATTATTAGATAAATCTGGTGTCACAATACAGAAAATACCAAACAAAGGAAACAGCTTTACTGCTGTAAATAACAAATCACAAACATCAAATGGGGGTAAATATTATTCATAAAACAAAATATCCCACACAAACTTTTTTCAACATGACCTTTATTGTGGAATTCATTTAAATAAATAATCGAAGACACAAACACAGTCTGGAAATAGCTAAATCCAAAAGTTCATGAAACGGAACCTTTTTCAAGCTTCCTAGAAACTGAAGTAACTAACTCTAACTTGTTCAAATTTATCCGATTCTACTCTTTTCCAGTCTATACTCTTTTGTTTTTTAAAGCGCAGAGCTTCATGACCTGCAAGTATGTATCACTGGATGACGGGAGCCTCCAATCAGAGCACTCCAAGCCCCATCCCCCACTGGCTCAGTCAATGAAGGACCTGCAGAACCTGACCCACAGTCATTGGTTCAAAGCGGGAGCAAGTGACCCAGGGGTGAACCAATTAGTGCCTTCCTTGGTGTTCATCCTTGGAGACTCAGGAAGAAATCGATGTATTTTTTTTTTTGTCTGTTTGTTCAGGGGTCTTAAATCTCAATCCCTGCTAATAGTAAGTTTATTTGGGAAGGAAAAAATCTCTCTCTGGTTAGACAAGGAAGTGATTCTAATGACTAGAAGAGTAGCTCCACATTATATATTTAAGAAATGCTGAGTAAAACCACTCTGGGCAAGCAATTGTTTTTCCCATCTCACATCTGTACGAGTACTCACTTAACAGCTAAATGTCTTTCACCCGCCACCATGTACTTCTCATATGCTCCCACTCAGTTTAACACTTACATTGCTCTGGGTGGAATCAATAAACTAATGAAAATAACGACTACCAAATGGAAGTGAACAATGGGAGTTATTACCCAATCTCAGCTCAGCTTGCAATGTCCATTCTTTCCTTTAGGCCCTTTGAAATGAGCCTAATCTTGTGCAAATACAGCCTAAATAATGTGCAAATGCGGAGGATGCTGACCCTATCTTGGACGTACAGTATCTTTTTCAAATTTGCAAATGGCATTGTTGAAAGGAAAGCAAGTATGTTGGATGACAGAATCAGGATGCAAAGAAATGTGACCATGAGCAAATTTGAGCACATCAGCAACCAGGATGGTTCCCCATGTGTGTAACTTGGATCCAAAGGATCTGGGAAGTGTCACTAGGAGAAGACTTGGGGGTATAGAGGCAGGCACACAACAGCTGACTTCAAATATTGGAGGAAGGATTAACTATGCTGTGTGAGTCTCCAGCACACAGTCCTAGGAAAATTAAATAGCAGCTACAAGGAGGCAGTTTTGGGCACAGTGTAAACAGCCTGTCATGGCAGGGGACTGAGTGAGTCCACTGGATAACTGTTTCAGGAAAGAGGTAAGGTATTGTTGACCACCATGGTTACTTTCAACTCTCAAATCCTCTGGCTACACTAAGCCCTGTGATTGTGTCACCTCACTGACATGTAATCAGAGTTGACCCACCTACTGTTTTGCTTATGGAAGTTTATTATTGCAGAGAAAACAGCTTCCACTTCCTGTAAACCCAGTGATTATGTAAGGATGTCAGCTCTTAGAAGGGGGCGTAAGATAATACTTGAGGGTACAAGTAGACACAGACAGCACAATCCCAATTTGTATGAAAAGATGAATATTAATAGACCACAGTTTGGATGGTTATACACTCAAATGCTAACACTTCTAATTGGTAGGATTATAAGTGATTGGTTCTTATAAGTTTCAAGAGATGAAAGTATTGTTAAGGGCAGGGATCGGAACTTGCCTATTTATATGTATTCCTTATTGTATTAGTCAGCTTGGGTTGCTGACTAATACTATAGACTGGGTGGTTTAAACAACAGAAATTTACTTTTCACAGTTCTGGAGGATAGAAGCCTCAGATCAAGGTCCCACAGGGTCATTTTCCGGTAAGAACTCTCTTCCTGGCTTGTGGATGGCCACTCTCTTGTGTGCTCACATGGCAGGGAGAGAGAGATCTCTGGTATCTCTTCCTCTTCTTCTAGTTCTACCAGATTAAGGCCCCATCCTTAGGACCTCAATTAACTTTAATTACCTCCTAAATACCCTATCTCCAGATCCAGTCACATTTGGAGTTAGGACTTCAACATATGAATGCTTTGGACAGGAGAAACAATTCAGTCCATAGCACTTACACTCCCCACGAACACCAAAAATTCTTGGTTCATAAGACAGTGAATCAAGAACCAGACCAGAGGTTCAGTGCTACAGGTCATTAGCAGGTATTCGATATCTGAGTTTATGCTCAATAGAATATGTGATGTACTTAGCACAGTGCATGTCAGTAAGTACCTCCCGGCCCCTTCCCTATCCAACCGCAGCCCTGGGTGTCCCCGTCCATTAAGTTGAAAGCACTTTCCAGAAAACAGGAGAGCCCAGCTAAAATCTCAGCTCTTATTCACCTTAGATCACTCTGGACCCTATGTTTTCATTGCCTCTCTCAAGGTTCTGTAATTCTATGATTCCATCTCTATGGAAAAAGCACCTAGCATCCCCAAGTCAGAACCCAATGGACCTGAACAGAGGGGAGCCTTTCCCCTGTGACTAATCTGCTAAAGTGGCTTTCCTGCAACCGTTTTGTTTGGCTGAAAAGAGATCCCTTGTATACTTTCATTCCTTAGAAGACCACCAAGAATGGACCACAGGAGTCTCAACGTAATGATTATATTTATTATTTTATCACTACATTAGAAATGAAAATAAACTGTGAGAAGCTGCAAACGCATGCAACTTCATGAAGATTATGGAGCAATGGAGACGCTCATTGTAGAAGATTAAAAGTGGTTTATCCTGTAGGGGGTGCATGGACTACACAAACAAAGCTCATCGATGGTGAGATTATTGACAGCATCTGCCAGCTGGAACTTACGCACCAATGAAAACTTTAAAAATGAACATAAGGGAAAATTGGCTACCCCTGACCTCTTAGCCAGGGAGCATGGGTGAGAAGACATCAGAAGATGCCTAAAATCTCTACAACACAAAGGTTTACAAAAAAAAAACGAGCCCAAATCCAAGACACTCAGGCAGTGTTGAAATTTGATCTTGGGAGGAAATCCCCATTTTACGATGTTTGAACACACTCTTTCTCCTGTTGGATAGCTGGGGAAAAAACAAATACAAAACATCAGTAAGAGGGTATTTTCCTAAGATTAAGTGCAAAGGAGCCCTTTGCCAAGTCATCGAAGGCTGACATACTTGCTTAACTTTCAAATGCCAAAGAATTAACTACAAATCCTCCATCGGGTGTGTGTGTGTGTTAACCAACTGAACATTCACTAGAATCTACATCAGCTGTTTTTTTTCCCATTTGAGATGCAGATTTATGCTGTTGCCATTTTTTACCATAGATTATTCTGAGACTGAGGAGCAAGTGAAGCATTTTCTTCAGATTTATTTATTGCCATACAATCAGGAAGTTATACCCTTTCAGATAATTTTGACTAACTTTGGAACTTTCAAATAATGCTGCCATGAAAAAATGTGCCCCTTGGGTTGGAGTTTCTCAGTAGGCTATAAGTCAGGAGGGCAAAACTGATCCCTTGATCCCTGGGAGACTTGAGTATACCCAAGATCTAAACTAGTTCTCCCACCGCATCTCGTCATCAGGTAGAGAAGGCCAAAGCTCCAGAGTGTATGGCTCTATAGGGATAAGATCACAGGCCCAAACTGCTAGATGCAGAAAAATGGCAAATAACCAAAAGTTGGACAAAACTTAAGATGCTTCTAATATTAAGTCTAATATTCTAAGATTGGTTTTAATGTGGTTTTTAGTAATTTTCCAACAAAAAACTTTTTTTCATTCCCCCATTACTACTAGGGCCTATTTTGTGAAAAACACGTATATAAGCAAGGTAAGAAGGCAAATATTTGATATTTTTATATGTTGCATTACATACATTGGTACTCTACTTATTGCTTACTTTGTGCCAAAATTTACTGGATGAGTTTATTTACTGAACCTATCAATCTTCATCACTGTTTGCCTCAACTAGAGAGCCCCCATGACTTACTTTCCTTTGAAGGAAGAGTATTTTTTTCTTCAGTATTAGTTTTCTTCAGTTTTGATCTGTCAAACTTCTCCACTTCAGACAAATCTGGCTTATCACTCATCTTGAATCAAAGACTGAAAAAGAAATTAAAAAATTTATCTGGTAGAACTATTATCGGACTAAGGAGTAACAGCCAAAATTCTCACATTTAATATCAATGTGTATTTTACCTGCTGATTTTCAAGAGGAAAAGAGCAACAGATCTTAGAAGAGTTATGTTTTTATTAGAATACTTTTTCTTCCACATCATTACCCCATTTCTGATAGACAGTAAATGCCACTGAATCAGGGTGCACTAGAAACCAAGATGCCCTACAAATCCTGAGCCAATATGTCCGACTCTTTTAAAATCATAGCAAAGGTAAAATGGAGGTGATAGAAACCCAATAGTAAAAGGGATAGTAAAAATAAGGACTGGGTTCCAACAGCTAATGAATTTGTAACAGTAGATAGCATTATTTGAGAACCTTCATGTTGTATTCAATTACTTTTGGGGCATATTTTCTTGGGGGGGTTGGGAGCAGCACACAAAAAAGGGTGGCATAAGTTGTACTAGTTTCTTTCCATTTTATCAGCCCAAAGACAGTAGATCAAGAAACTACAATAGGAGAGGGAGAGAGAAGTCCCATGGCACTTACAGGTTTGTAAACGCTGTTAAAATGGCACAGCTAATTAGCATCAGACCAAGGACGTCAGCAGAAAGGGGTAAACCAAAGAGTTGAGTTTTATTTCACCAAGTTTTCTCTGCAAAGGGAGAGGCTAGAAGACGAGGTTTGTCCAGAGGAGCCAATGGGAGACCCAAGAGATTGGAAAGCAGGGCTCTCACGCGCGCGCCTGGCCCCACCCTGGCGGGCTAAGACACTTCTAGCGCTCAGAGTAAAACAGAGGCCCCCTAAAGCAGCCAGAAGTCCCCAATATGCTCCCCTTCCGTCGAGGTCACCCTAAAACCCTCCTCTGACAAGAGATCGGACGCCGACCTCCAGAGGTGGGGAAACCGGGACTAATAAACAATAACACGGTTGGGTGCAGAGGCCGGTTTTCTCAACGTTGTAAAATAAGCATCATCGTTGACCGGCGCGCAGCTTAACCTATCGGCCCAGGGGGAGAGCGCGCAGGGCAGCCCCAGAGGGCCCACTCCGGGCGGCTGCCCCACTCCCCATCCTCGCAGCCTCAGACCAGCAGCCACCGCCGACGGGCCGCTCCGGGGGCCGCGCCCTCGGGCCTTCCGGGGACCGACCCGGGAGCCCCGGCGTGGCGCGCAGAAGGCGGCGCCCCGGCAGACAAAGGCGCCGACTGGCCAGGAGGCGCCTCTACGAAACGCCAGTCCCCACCCGGCCCTTCCAGTTCCTGAAGGCGCGACACCCCCGCCCCGCGGCCGCCGCGCCCTCCCGTCCCCACAGTCCTCTGGCTCGGGCGGCGCCGCCTGTCCTCACCCGAAAGCCTGAAGACGCGCGACAAGCAGATAGCTGGGCTGGGAACGCTCCGCACACTAGACGAGGCCGCCTTCCCGCGCTGTACCTCTAGGGCTCCGCCGCGCAGCAGGGCCCCCCCCAGGCCCCGCCCCAGCCCCTCCGATTGGCCGAGGGGCCTCAGGCCCGCCTCCTCGCCCTCCCTCCGTTGTAGCCTTGTCGGCCCGAGTCACTGTCTCCCTCTATTCGGGAAGTCAATGGCTGCGGCGGGGTCTTGATGACGTCACACCAGACCCGCCTCCCCAAGACCCCATCCCAGCCTTCCCTGATTCGCCGAGGGATCCAGCATGTCTCCCCTACCGCTCCTGGTACTTTCGTCCTGAGGGTCTGCTTCCCTTCTGCCCAAGTACACTCACTCCTCCACGATGAGTGGGGCCTCTGCCATAAGCAGACACTCCTTGCCCAGTTAGCTTTGACCGTCTGGAACTCCGAGATCCAAGCTGAAGGAACCGTAATCAGGGTCTCTCGGCTGTTTTAGCCATAGGAGCCTAAGCACGCTGTGAAAACCAAACGGTGGTTTGGAAGCGGTGCTCAGCATGGTCTGTTCTAATCCCTGGCCAGGTCGTGGAAGAGGGGTGCTCATGGAGAGGGTGGGCAGTTTAGGGTCATTCACCCTCACAGGTGGACAGTTCTGTGACAGTGGTGCTCTCCTACATAAAAGTCACATTTTCAATTTTCTCAGCCAATGAACATGGTACTAGTCGGTTTAGGGTAATCAGAGGAGAATCCACTGAGGCTATTCATCTTTATTTCCCCAATCCCTAGCGCTTTGCTTGGCCCACAGGAGACACTACATAAATGCCTGTCTGTAGATTGAAGTAATAAATCCATGATAGAGCAGAATTTTTGGACAGCAGCACCACCCAGTGTCTATGTTGGGGGAGAAAAGGGTGGATCTGGTAGTTACTTGAAAGGACTAAATGTTCCAGGTCTTTCTGGATACTCACCCAGAACCTTAGAGGGTTAAGGTAAAATGGAGACAGGACTACGTCTTTCCCTTGCACTCCATGTTTTCCATATGGCTCGTGTATGATGGTAGGTATCTACACAGATCAGCAATCACTCTCTCCACAAGGATTTCTCAAGCTTTCCCTGCTTCTCTCCATTCCCTTTTCTGTGGTCTTGTAGCACGTTGTGTTGTGTTACTCATTCAATAAATAATATTCATTGAGTACCTACAATGTTCCAGGCATTAAATATAATAAACACCAGTGTTTCCACCACTCAGATTTGAATGTTTTTAACATATGGGTATATTTACTTTGGGTTTTTTTAGGGGGATAAAAACATTACAGGAAAACTGAGGTTTCCTTGACCCTTGCCCCATGCCATTCATCCTCCCACTTCCCCAGGAGTAGTCTTATCCTGAATGTGGTATGTGGTTTCTAGTCCATTTTTCTATCATTACAGATTAAGTGATCTCTGTTTCCAGGAGCAATATGCAGCATTGCATGGACCAATGCTTTAGGTCTAAGACTGAACTCCCACATCACTTGGGGTCGACAGGGAGCCCCAGACACCCACTCCTCCCTAGCCCAAACTTAAAAATCTATGTCGAATCTATCTGCCTTGAATACATCAGAACTCATCTAATGATGTTTAGCCCCATTTGTCTCAGTCACCATGTAACCAGGGGCCCTCCAGGCCCAGTTCAACTGACCCCATTTTATCAACAGAGTAATTAAGAGTAGTTTTTGTTTTTTTAAAGATTGACACCTGAGCTAACAACTGTTGCCAATCTTTTTTTTTTTCCTTCTCCCCAAATCCCCCCAGTACATAGTTGTATGTTCTAGTTGTGATGTGACTCTGGTTGTGCTATGTGGGACACCGCTTCAGCATGGCCTGACGAGCGGTGCCATGTCCGTGCCCAGGATCCGAACCGCCGAAACCCTGGGCTGCCCAAGCGGAGCAGGGGAACTTAACCACTCTGCCACTGGCCGGCCCTTAAGAGTAGTTTTTAAGGAACTGAGACCCCTTGTCCAGTTCTGCCTGGTTGAAACCACCAACCCATCAACTGGGCACAAATGCTCCATAAGTGACCTTTTTGACGTCAAGGAGCTAAAAACTCCACCCTCAGATCATGGTAACGCTGCCGTTTTGTGAACATGCATCCTATGAAAGAGGTATGAAGTTTGACTATGCTTGTGCAGATCAATTAGCTCACTTCTCCTTACCTCCAGTCATCTATCTCACACTTCAGACTGCCCTGCCCTTCATTCCATAAATTGTGCCCCAAGCCCTGGATTGGGGAGACAGATCTGAGAGCATATGCCCCTGCTCCTTGCAGATCAATCTAGCAATAAAGCTAGTTTCTTTTCCCAAAAGCTGATGCTATAATAATCAGCTTTCTTTTATGCTCATCAGGTCAAAGAACCCCGATTTTATGCTGTAACAACCACAAGAACCCCAAAATCTCTACAACACCCCTCAGCTTCTGTATTCTAACTTCTATAAAGTTGTGACCACATCCCCTGTTGAGTTCACTTCTCACACACCCCCCCCCCACTCCTAAAACAATGCACCCGTGATAATTCCACTATATCCTCAACCTCTTCTCTGGACATGCCCTTTATTGTCTTTCCCTGACAGAAACCAAGCTCTTCCCTGAGAACTCTGTGTCCCTGAAGCCCATTCGAGAGGAGCAGATGACTTTTCTCTCTCACCACCATTGTTACCACAGAGCCTGAAGTTCAGGTAAATGTCTTCCTTGCTGCCTTTAGACCATTCCTTTCTCACTTCCCTGAAAACTTCTAGCTTTTGACAGCTAGTTTTCATTGTTATGGTCATCTGCCAAACTTCAGTTTTCTCTTTATTTCTCACAGATTTTAGCTCCTGGAACGTGGTCACTCTCAACAGTAGTAGTCCAGTTTTAACTCCTGGTGAGCTCAAGAATGACCATTCTGACACACTGACTCTTTCAGTTCCTTGAACATTTCTCCTTCATGACGTTGTCCTTGGCTCCACCTCAGCTGCTCACTCACATGGCTATACCCTAGGCCTTGTCATTGCAATTATAGCAACCCCTCCATAATCTCAATTTCAAACATCTCTCTCTCTGACAATCACCTCCTGTTTTTTTGCAGCTCACTTCCTTTGGTACCCAGACTCCACTATCCTTCAATGTCACCAGAATCTCCAGTTCATTGGTCCTACTATATTTTCACCATCTCTTGCTCCCTTATTGTCTTCTCTCTACTTCCCTAGCTCAATCTTTATAATTACTCATTTACATATACCCTCCGCTCTCCTGACCCTCTCTCACTTTGTATTACTTCTTTGGCAAAATCATAACTCTAGCTAAGTCCAACTACATCTCAGGGAGCCTGAACCCACACAGCTAAACCTGGCTGGAGGAAAATACACAACCACATGACTAATTGGAGTTTAAATTTATGACTATGAACCTCAGTTGGGCCCGTAATGCTGCCAGGCAATCACTCTATAGCTCTCCTCTCCCTTAACTTTCCAACTTTTCTAAGTTACTATGACCTTCTCTTTCCTCGAACTGCCAACACCACCTTCATATCCCAACTATTCATTTGTTTATTTCAGTAGGAAATTGAAGCCATCAGAAGAGAACTTTTACAGACTCTTACCACCAAGTTGCTTCACCCACCAGCACCTGCGTCTGTATATATGGCCTTCCTCTTGATATCATATATGATTGTTCTGGGCTGAGTTGTGTCCCCCAAAATTCATATGTTGAAGTCCTAACCCCCAGTATCTCAGACCGCGACTCTTTAAAGAGGTAGTTAAGGTAAAATGAGGAGATTAGGACACAGACAATGCAGACCAAGGGGTGACCATGTGAAGACACAGGGAGATGTCCTGCAAGCCAAGGAGAGAAGTCTCACCAGAAACCAACCCTGCAGACAACTTGATCTCAGACCTCTAGCCTCCAGAATTGTGAAAAAATTAAACTCTGTAGTTTAAAACACCCAGTCTATGGTCCTTTGTTATGGCAACCCTAGCATACTAATATAACATTTCCAGATTCCCCTCTAAAGCAAGCCCCTCTGCTTTCCTATTAGATCTCTTTCTCTCACACCAATTCAATGATACCACTACCATCTTTCTCCCGCTTATCTCCAACATCATCAATGTTGTGCTCTCTACTAGGTAGTTCCTTTCAGGATACAATCATGCTGTTGTTTCTTATCTTCGTATATATATATTTTTTTCATCATTATATGTGCACTATTTTATGTATACGTTCTCTTGACTCTACTTCCCCACCTGCTATCACCCCATTTCTTTGCTCCCCTTTGATGCAAATCTCTTTTACAGAAATATGCGATTTACATTTCCATGTGCAATATTTGAACACGAATATTTGAAGGCGTCTTTTGAATCAATGTTCCTGGTCTACGACTGCATTCCACTAGGCCTCCTTCCTACATCAATCTGGTGTCAAGAGGGAGCCTCAGACAACCATCCTTCTCTAGTCCCCTACACTCTCTCCCTGTTCTCCACCTCAGTCACTCTGCCCCAGCTATGGCCTTTCTGCTGTTCCTCAAACAAGCTGCACTCACTGTAGCCTAGGCCCTTTTCAATGTCTGTTCCTATCAGGAATGTTCTTCCCCCAGGTATCCACTTAGACTACTACTTCACCCATTCGTAATAGTTGTCTCTGTTCTCTGTTTCCAATTTTTCTCCTCCTATTCTCATTTGAACACATTCCAATCAAGGGTCCATCTCCACCACTCCACTGAAATTGTCCTTGTTGAGGTCGTGAATAACTTCCATGTTGTTCAATCCAACGGTCAGTTCTTAGTCTTTGTCTTA